AAAAAAAAAAAAAAAAAATATAGACAGCTTACACCCAAAGAGGGGTAAACATAAACGGGGGGGGGGGGGGGGCAGCCTTGCCCAGGTGCGCTGGACATTTTCTGGAGCCCTTGCGCAAGAGGGAATAGGGAGGGGTCTCCAGAAATTGGGTGCTCTTCCCCAGCATATTACTGAAACCTGGAGCCTATCAAAAGCAGTGGGACTTCCTAGAGTAGCAGGCAACCCACAGATTTCCAAATGGAGGGGTTTGCATCCAACAGCTGGTGACTTTTTAATCCAGGGTACAAAGTTTATTGATGCTGCACTCATTTGGCTCCCTTAAAAGTTAAGTTTATCGACATTGTTTTTACTTGCAAGCCGGTTAGAAGGTTAGGGACCCTCAACCTGCTTTATAGTTGCTGTTCAAATTGGATTACTGTACTGTATTTTCTCGCAACTTCCAGGCAGATAAGGAAGTTAAGGAATGTGTCCATTTGTTAATTGTAGTGTGTTTCCAAGGTGACACATCCCTCTCCCAAATCTTTCCATAAACTGAAATGATGGAGAGTTAATAGATACACATATTGACAGCATCTTTTTGACATTGTATGTCCACTTTTCATTGCTTAAAAATCTGATTTCCTATTTGTGGGCTATGGGAAGGTATTGTAATCACCCTGGAATTAATTTTGTTTATTGCTTTGAAACAGTTATGTACAAAATGCAGGCTACAAAAAGCAAATCAGATCACCCCCACTTTTCTACTTTCCAATAAAAAGCTTTATAAACTGGCAAATACAGAATTTCCCCCTGCCTCTAGGTCTCCCCCAAGAGCTAGTAAAAACTGTATGTGTTTTGGTAGTAAAATATCACCAACAAATACTGCAACCAACAGTCTCATACTGAGATGCAAGTTGGGGGGGGGGGGAACAGCTGCAATAGTCCTGGTCCTTTATGGATTGCAAAGTCACCAGAAATATTCCTAGTCAATATATTTTGTAGGCTAAGTGGTCTGGATGAAGCAACTTGGAAAAATGTATCAAAAATATGCTTATGATGGGAACCAAAAGTTCTTCAGATATGCCAACAAGAGAAAGACTGTTTTCACACATTGTGCTAATCTGTCATTTGGTTTGCTTGGTTCTGACTCTGCATATGGGAACCCAGACAATGTTAGCTTCCTCAGCAAACTCTGGCTTTAATGCCATGTACAAATTCGACCAAAGTGCCAGTAACAAATATGTTGGTCAGTTAACAGGACTTTTTGTTTAAAAACATGGTGGGAATAACAATCCTCCCCTTAAGGACAGCAAAGTGTTCTGCAGCTCATTTAATTGGCTTATGGATTTTATCCATCACTGCAATCTGATGCTTTGTTTTGAATTCCACAATCAGCACCTTTGCAATAAGCCTTGAAGCCTCTCCTAAGACAGTGTGTGCTTTACATGCTTGATATTATGTCTTTTACTAAGAAGCAGGCTCCACCGAATTCAGTGGCTTGCTTGTAAGTATTGCAGACTAGATTTTTGATCCCCTACTGATCGGTCAGTACATAATTAAAGGGGCCAATGGCAGCTTTCGTGGCACTGAGGACTGTTGTATTGTATTGAACAAAAGGCCACGTTACCACCATTGAGGCAAAGCAGACCAGCTAAGGGAAAAATATTACTTTTAAGTTGTTGGAGTGATTAAATTTGTTAGGCAATCCTTCTAGTCCTTGACAGTGGTTGGTGGGGTGTTTTAAATGTCTGCATATGGTTCTTCAACAGACAAGTTGACAAATGCTCAGGTTATGCCTGCATAGGTGACAATGCAGCATTTGTGATTCTATGAGTGTCTTGTCAAGTTAAATGGGGCTTATTTCCAGTTGGTGCAGAAAGCATTGCAGTCTTTTTTGTAGTCCTATGTGAATTCTACTGAATTCTAGCAGGAATTATCTCATAGAAACCTGAGGGCCTTTTCCATATCTTTTACTACAATAAAGGTAGATATGGACTGCCAGTTCTTTCCTAACACATTTTGATTGCAACTCCATGCTTGTCACCCTGCGAGTGTACCTTGGAATAAATACACTCAGATGTGCAATATTCTTACATTGATGTCTTGCCATTCCTCCAAGGAAGTCTCTCCATGTTATTCTCACAGCAACCCTGAAACTGGGGCCAAAAGACAATATAATGTTCATATTGTGAACTTAGTGGCTATTCAGAGACTTGTCCCTTACTTGTCCTAGATTGATTTTTTTTTTAAAAAAATCCTGGATTCCTTTATATATACAGTGACCACACATCCTTCATTTTAAAGGACAGTCCTTTATTTCAGAAAGCTGTCCTTTAGATTTATTTTTTAAAAACTCACATTTGCCCTTTATTTTGGTCATTTAACTTTTACCATACAAAGAGTACCACTTAATGCACAGTCTTTCACATTCATGTGAAAAATATGGAAATTGAATTGTCTTTTAAAAATAAATTTACATATA